GCTTACAGCAGATGGTATTCCCAAGCGGTAACTCATCAAGGTGCTGTCCAAACCCAACGTTGCTTAACTTAGATGATCGGATTAGAACCGGTGTTTCAACGTGATATGCCCATAAGTCCCAAGGATTCGATCAGAAAAATGAGTCGCACAACTTTTAATAATAACGTCATTACATCTTCTTGGATATTCAGACACCTTAATATTTTTTTAGAGTAACCGCTGTTTCGACGTGATATGGTCTTAAGACCCAGATTATTTCATTTTCGTTTTCCAAAATAGTTTTCGATCAGTTTAGGTTTGGCCACCGCAACTTCTCAATTACTACAGGCGATAATACAGTAATAAATATTGTATGTTGGTCTGCAGATGGAGATTCGTCTTCAGCAGCGCTGGTCGGGCTCTCTGACTCCGAGCGGAAGGGATCCCGAGACGAGGCTTTGTCGAGGGGTAGGAAACTCATCTCGGGAAACAGCTAACCAACCCCATTTTATATGGGGTCTACGGGGAATTTTTGACCGGGCCTACAGGCTTGGATACCCCACATTAAATTCCGCCTTGTGCCACATCTGGGGTGGGTGGTAGATATTCTTCAGTTGGCGATTCATTGTGTAATTCACTTGTCTCACTTCTAGCAGTTGACTACTTCTACGCGCCGCTGGCGAATCTTATATGTGTTTGCGTCCTAAGTATTATCGTTCATTACCAACCTTCGTGTAATTATTCTTTCTAAGGTTACAACATATTCTACACGCAGGCTGTTTATACAAATATCATCTGATAGTTTTCATTGGATATCTAATGAGATCTTTTCTCTTTAACAAATCAGGACCCTTCTGAAATATATATATATTCATCAAACTCGAGTCCATTGTTTTTGGAACGGTTCCAATTTATCACATTCGTTCTGTGATTCACAAGCACAGACACCCCCTCAATCTAGCAAATATCTTTCCATAACGCCGATGATTAGAGGTGGTCTTTTTCTTTAGATTGAAACTTTCCTTTCTTTTAAAAACATACTTTGTTTTTAATCATTTCATCTCATACAAGGCCCCTAAGGCACAAGCAGTTGCTGAGTGTGAAATAATAAAAAAAAAAGAAAAACATTATTAAGAAGCGAGAATAATAGAAGAGTGATTAAGAAGATGGTCGATAAAGATTGACATTCCACATAAATATTTGAAGATCAAAGTTGCCTGGAAAGCATGGAGCCGTAAGAGTGTTCCACAAACAAGAAAAGAAACTGTTAGCATAGAACTTCCGGTTTTATATATAGCTAATTCAAATATAGATTGATCAGGCCTTACTGCCAATTCAACAAATTCATAACATCTAGGTACCACTGCGGAGAGTTCATCCGATCAATTACGATGAAAATATTTATAGAAAATGGACCCGGGGAGATGGAGGAAAATTTATTGAAGCGATGCGCCAAGTCATGGCGAATAATATTACTGATTCTTCTTTTTTATATTATCAATAATCTATAAATATACAGCAGGCGGACCATATGTGGCAGCAATATTCAAAATATGGACGCATGGTAGACTCATAAATATGTAAGATAGATTCTAGAGATAACAATTTTCTAATACGACGCAGTGAACCAAATCTCTTAGCAGAAGACCTAGCAATTTACTCAATATAATCTTTCGACTTCATATCAGTGGAAAACGTTTGCCCCCGAAGTTACAGTGAATCACTTTCCTGGAGGGTTAGCATCCGCCATGCTGATGGCAAGCAGAAAATGTTATCTCAGATGATTAATAGAGAGAAGTTTCGTTTTGCTGTTAACATGCAAATCTATTAATAACAGATATTAGATCAGCTGCCGATTCGACCTTGTCGAACTAGACTTACCATCGAGGCAGGAGTAAATGGTTTTGCCATTAGCATAGATACGAAGTTGAGAATTGATGTCATCGGGAATGTCAATGATGAAAATTAAGAACTATGTTAGAGTTGTACAATGGGCATTAGTATAATTAATAACTAAGATAAAGAGTACAATAAACATTAGTACAAAACGATCTAGGATATACAGATATAAAAATGAACTGTTTGTGAGAAAAATAGAGAAAAGAAACATAACTATTACCAAGAGTAGAAATTGAAATTGACGCAAAGCTCTGAAACCCCTGGGATCCCCATAACACCTGGCTTAAATCAAAGATCAGTCTTTTGTGTGCATCAGTCATGTTAATCAGCGATTTGCATATGATAACATCAAAAATAGAGCGGATATTTCAAGCAGTAGTAATTAAATAATATAAAACAATTCTAGATCTCTCCTAACATAGGTTGTATCAAGAATGACGCAGGGTGAAATAACATGAGGCGAGAAAGAGGCCAGTTTGAAGAACATATCCATCGTAATAAATTTAAAGTGCTATGACCACATCGTGACTAACAAACTTTCACTACCATCCTACGATATACAGCTATAAAGAGGCATATAGAGAAATTGGGTTTACAAAGTCACTGAATAAACTGAGAAATTCAGACATTGAAAATATATGGAGAGACGTGCGCAGAGGCCCTGACACCAAACCTGGTCATTCAACAGATAATGAATATTTCTGTTTAAAGTGTATTTACAGCCGACCATATTTTTTAAACTAATGTTCAGATGAAGCATGATATCAAAGAATATCAATTACTAGGTATTCTACGAGGGAATTTGGTTTGTCTATCGTGTTAGAGAATCTTTCCCGTCAGTCTACCATTCTCATTCGCATTGAATAGTGTTGCTACATATGATCCATTTCTTCTGCAATATATCTGGAGGATATTTACAAAAACCCCAAAATGAATCTGCAATGTTATCGGTCCTTACCTAGCATCCAGGCTTCAGTCAAATTCCGACCGCCATAATATATTTTCATTCTGTCTTTTCTATAAATATTTTCACGTAGATAGTTTTGGTAGTTGTATAACACGATTTGGTGACTTTAAGCGTAGTACTTGGTTGGTAGTTAGATCACATCATTTTACTGTTGATATAAGCTTAGATTATTTACTGTTTGTTTCTTCTGTTGCACATCTCGAATGTGGATTCCTGTTTTGGCTACTCGCTTTTCCAATCAAATTCGATCATCAAATATGTAAATGCTACGTCAGTCGCCATCTTTTTTTGCCTTTTTAAACCTAATCTTTCACAGACCTTTCTACTCAATAACAATGTTTTCAGTTTCTTTTAATCTCAGTAAACTCTTGTGTCTTATTGTCTTGTGCGACTTGCTTGGGAGGAAATAATTTTAAAAAAAGAATTTTGATGCTATCATTTCTAGAATAGAAGTTTTACGTATCATAAATTCGAGTATTTAAAACTATACATCATTGCCATGATTCTTATATCATGGCCATACAACTGGCAGAACTGGATGGGTCAATAAGATAATGGATGCACACAATAACATTAAAACTATGACAGTTGCAACCCTGCATATTGGATATTCTGTGATTTCCTTCAACTAGTAGATAATAAGTCGTTAGTATCAACTGCAACGTAATTCAGTTCGCACACGAGATTAACGCAAGCAGAATCGGGTTAATTACCTATAACCGGCCAGGCAAAAGAATAGAGTACACTTGAAGAGGAAAGATTCTGACGAAGAAATAAGGAAATTGGCGCCAGTGAAGAAGAGAATCCCACAGCTGTGCAATGGAGATTCTTTAACCATCCGAGATGAAGAATTCTGCGGAGATCTGCTTCCATATATGCCGTTAACGATATTGGCAGCTGTTAATGTCACATGCGAGGAGATATGAATCGAGCCATTCAGGAAAGACTAACTTTTTTTATCCTTATTCTTTTTCCCGTCATTATTATTGACAGATTCAAATCACAAGTGTTTGATAATCAACCCCAGGGATCACGTGACATCAACTCATAAATCTCTAGAGTTTTCTAAACTGGTTCCATTATTTAATGTTGTTTGTTTATTACACCTACAGTGCAGAATATTTGGCATGCAAGGCAATATTAGTCGAGTATAAATGGTCAGCTGCGCACATGATCAGAATGGCATATCTGAGCATTTATGAATATATATATATATATATATATATATATATATATATATATATATATATCATCCAACCATTCTTCTTTCTCCTCCTCATTTTTCTTCTTACAAAATCTTTCGAAATTCAATGGGTCACAAGTTGATTATTTTTCCCTTTCTCTTTGCTATATCCTCATATTAAATGGGTTACAATGGATAAATGATTAACTCTTCTCTATTTTATCTTACATTAATATGTTTCTTGTGTTCCACTTTCTTATCTATTTTTATTTTAGAATCCCACAAGAGTTTTATATGTTTCTGACTCAAAGATTTATTATTATTATCATTAAAACAAACTTTTCAACCTGCTTTTGTTTATAATGAAACATAGGACAAGCGAAGGATGTTATTTGTCGTTGTTCCCACTCAATTATAGCTATTAACAAAAATAATACGGACAAAGCCTTTACAGGTATTTGATTGTGATTGTTGATCTATTTTTTAAATTTTTGGAGAGATGCTACACGAGGCATTTGTTGGTTTCCTCGTAAGTCACTTCCTTTATCAGATCCATAACTCCAACCATAACAGAAACAGTTTTAGATTTTAAGTGCCACTTTTGTTACTATTTCAATCTCCAGGTCTTTATACTTGTTAATTTATATTTCAAAAACTTTCGCAGAAATGTTTTTGTTGCTTGCTACGTTCATGTCAATCAAAGATTTTTCCTTTCCTGTCTTTGGAATTATTTTTATCCTGTTTTATCACACAGTGTATGATTTGTTGTTGTTTTTTTTTTTGTTGTTGTTGTTTTTTAATACACACGGTACATTAAGTTATCTGTGAAGTCAAACGACCTCAAACAGTCAGTAATTTCTTCAGTTCCCAAAAGAGCCGGTAGTTGGATGACTCCAAGTTCGTACTGTATCCTCAACCAGTCAAGAAACTCACACAGGTTTAATGGGATTGATCCCAATGCGCAGATTACTACTGGAATCACTTTTATATTCATTTCCTGCATTCCAAACAATCTTGCCATCTCAACATTCAAATCAGAATACTTTGTATTTTTCTCAATCATCTTATGTGCTATAATGTTCTCA